TATAATTGATATATAATATAATAGACAAGTTTGACAAATAAGTGAAATTAATCTCATAATCTGTCAAGATTTATAGTTAAAATTGGGTAAATATAATAAGATCATATCAAAATTTTGATTTTTTTTCTAAGGTTTTTTCCTTGGACTTTTTCTGAGATTTATTACAAACAGATAACTTTTAAGCCGCTGACSAATTGGCCATGGGTAAGATTATGACGGGGACCGATTGTCCACACTACACGGCATTTTTATGTGGCGACCAATAAATTGTCCATTTACCTATATAAAAGTTTAATCTTGTGTATATAAACATAATATAATTAACTTATAAATAAATATGTATGGGTAATGTATAAATAAATCGTACTTTTTTACCGAACTTTTGTTCGTAGATTCATTATGGTGAATAATGTAAACCTGATATAAATGACATTATTTTTCCGGGGAAATGTTGTGAATGTAAACATTCTACGGTTATTGACRTTAATCCCCAATTTAGTTGGAGAATGATGTTCAATAATACATTTATGTCGGTGTGAACGATCAGTAACCGATTGTTTGAACCAGGTACAGGATATGGYGTGTTGGAAAATGTCCTATAGCGAACATTTCCCCATGCAACAAAAATTTCTAAAACTAGACGAAAAAAAAATTAAAGATAGGGAAATAACATTACGTGAAGCCGCTGGACATGGAATACTCAGGAATAGCGAGTAATCAAGACTTCAATCGATGCAAAATGGTTGTGACACTACTGGCACTAAAAAATGTGTTTGCAACGCAGGAGAAAGGTTGTGCAGTTAAAAGTATGGTAAACAAAACTGCACAAATAAATAATTAATAATATGCACCTATTTTGTTAATTTTAAATACCAACCTATATCCTTTCATTAGTTTTATTGAAATCAAATTMAAATATCAATCATCCATCAACAATAAATCATTATAAAATATAATTGGTACCTATGTTAAAAAAAAATCAATTATTATTTAAGATTTATCACCATTTACCACCAGTTTTGCCAAATTACTTTAATGACCGGTAAAATATGAACATTTGAATTTAAAATACGTTTTTTTACAACATTTACATACTTAATTGAATCATTTTAGTTAATGACGTCATTGGCCTAGGAATGACGATACTTACCAATTTTTGTCTTTCGCCGTAACATTCTATAAATTACCATACGCATAATATAATCGTATTTGTCCAGT